ACTAGGCATAGACAGATATGTAAAAAGAGTAAAGTTAAAAATATACTGTCTGTCCAGGGATCGGAGCTCTCATCTGTCCAAGAGAAATATCCTCATTTTGATATTGACCTAAGGAGAATGTGTTTCCACTCTGCAGCTCAAATCATGACAACAACCACAGTCCCAGGATTGATTGGATTATTGATTGCTAAAAAGAAAATCTTATGATATTATTATAAGGGGCGCTTATTCAAACGAGGCGCTTATTCACGCGATTACGGTATCTAAAGATACTAATGACGCAATTTTGAATTTTTCCTACAAATAGCAGGTTTTGCCAGAGCCGGTCACATATTTTTTATTTTATTTTTAAATACAACAATTGAATTTTAAAATTTAATTTAAATAAATCTATAATTTGTAATTCAAACTATAGAAGAATGTCTTCTAAATACAATTCACTGAACAAAGAGAATTGTACACCATTTTATCATCCATACGTAATTATATGATATTAGCACACATTAGTTCTCTATATTATATACTGTAATAATAATGCAGGACTTAATGCAGGACTTAATGCGCTATCTATCTAGCAGGCTATTCCGAGGCACAGTGACTAGATGAAAAGAAAGTATTATTTATTTTTTATTTTGATTTGCTGGAAATTTAAAAAGTAAGGTTTGAATTTAGAATTTGACCTACGTGGTCAAAATTTATTTTAATCCTACAGTACTTAATACTTTGTGATATTGGTTATACTAGAAATTATGTTTTCTAAGTCATAATGATCTAATCATTACAATTAAATATGTAATTTATTTCTTTGATCAAGAAAAAATAAATTAAAAATACAAATTATTTAAAAAACCTATTTATCAGAAACCACTTGCTTTATAAGCAGAATGAGTAGAGTATTCAGCAGTGATATTTTTTTTATTACAAGTTTTTTCGTTCCAGGAGGTTGAATTTGATTGCTTTTTTTAAAACGATATCTGAGGGTGACAGAGGCAAGGACATAATCTATAAGAAGGACCAAATTTTTGTAATTATTCCCTTACATACAGTAGAGTCGCACCATTCAAACAACGTAGGATTGCATCAACTCTCCTTGACACTAAGGTAAAGATTAATCATTCTGAGAGCCCTACTGTTCTTGTTGGTCAAATTTGGAGTTGCCTCATTTTCCCGGTAGAGGAAACATATATTCTGATACTAATAAAAAATATAAATATTGAGAGAATTTATGAAATATTCTTTAATTCTTTTTTCATTGAGTATAGGCTGTTAACAGTAAAACATGAAAACAGAGTACAATTACATTGGTAAAAGAACGTAAGAAACACTATCAGAAGAATCAATTCTAAAAACAAAATATAACATTAAACAATAATAAAATAAATCCTTAAGCAATTGATTATTGTATAGGTCTATACAATTTAAATATTTTATAAACTAGTACAAATAAATTTAAAAACAGAAATCTGCAGTACAGTTCAATTCAATCCCAGTGATAATGCAACCAATAAGGTATAAAACATACAGTATCTGAACAATCTTATGACTCTCCAAGTTTGCTGCGAGTGATGTAACTCACTGTGTGATAATAGCATTGTGAACACTTTCCAAGTGTTTCATAAATTTATCCACAACCCACTATGAGGCAATAATAATCCAGATTAGTGTTAATTTCAATACTTTAACTGACCATCATGTTGTTTACTTGTTGCTTAGCCATTCTCGTAACGAGAATATCTGGCTGTCATTGACACAATGTTCCCAAAACTATTTTGATCAACCAAACTTAGCTTCTTAGAAGAGGACCGCATTGTCATTGAGAACAGGATGCATATAAGAATATTAGCAATAGGTAGGCAGGCGGTCTTGATGTTGTTACTGGCCAATTGAATTGGGTAATTGCTAACTATCAGCTAGCAGTTGCTTTTACTAGATTTTTCCCAAGGTCAGTCGACATTCATTGTGTGCCAAAATGTTAGAAATTGTAAACCATACAGTACCAGCGAAGAAGTTCCACCCTTCTCAATTAAACAATTTTCGTCCTTTAGCACTTAATTTTGATAATTGGTAAACATTAAACCGATCCCCTACCTCAATAATTGATCCATTTTGTGTATCACGTTAATAAGAATGCTGATAATGCAAAACAAATTGAATTAAACTGCCAATGTTATTCAGCAACACACTGGTAACTGGCAGCCCCTGTATCCATCTATAATTCTTTTAAATACCAAATATTCTCAATGTCAATCTTTAATTTCATGGATCAAGAGTACGAAAGTGGGGAGTTTTAGTATCTGGCCATGTCAGTTTGTTACTGGCTTATAATCAAGGATCTATAGTTATCCTTTTTAATCAAAATGCATTTTGTTGCCTTGTGTGTGAGATGCACTTTAGCATGTTTTGCCTTAAAGTGGAATTATCATAGTGCAGCAGGAACCTGCAGTGAGAGAATAATGAAAACAAAACATTAACATTACTAATTAGTACTTAAGTGAGGTTTGTTCATGGTTATATTTTTATAATATTACAAATTGAGTGTTTTAGCACAAGAATGCTATTCCACAATCCAAGATTGTTTTCCATGTATGATCAATTATCGTACTAAGATACAGTACCGGCAAGGTGAGGAAGTAATTTGTAGCATAATTAAAGTTTTTTGTTAAAAAGAAATCTAAGTATAATTGCCAATTATCAAGTTGTAAAATTTGTGTAAATAAATTGAGATGTCATATTATTGACTCAATCTTAAATGTCAGCAAATTTATTGACCATTAAAAAGTAAAAATAACAAAATTTAAAGATTAAGCGAGAACTTACCTGTTCGATCTTCAACCTGTCTTGGCATATCTGAAATGAAATATCCCTTCTTGCAATACAAATAATTGTATAGGAAGGTAGATGGAAACTACATATCTGTTATGTGCTCTTCCATTAGGCAAAAAAAAAAAAAAAAATTGTGTTGGCCACATTTTGAGAAAATCCAAAAAATAGGTAGGTCAGTAGGAAAACTTTTTTTTTTAACAACCAAATATGTGTTTATGCCTAAAAAGTAGAAAATACACAAATAATACAACAATTTTGGATTTGCATCACATACCATCAAGCAAAATAGGCTAACCTTGGCCCCTAACCTCGCTAAGGCTATTCCAGTCTTATTTGCTCATTAAAAAAATATTGTTTGTTGTAAAAAAAAAAGGAAAAAAAAAAAACTAAAATGCAGACCCTTAATTTTGTAAAATTTTGGTCGGTCGGGCGTGGCCAACACGATAGTTTTTTTAATTTTTTGGCCTTACTATCAAATGAAAACATTGACTCTAGGGGGCACTGTTAACATATTTCTCAATCTTGCTCCTAAGCATCAGGAATCCAAAGAACAATCATCTTTAACCATTACTATCAAAATGTTTGGGGTTGGGGAGGCATATTGCCTGAAAATAAAACATGCATCATGCATAGGAACGTTGACGCCTGCAGGGTTCTGGTTAACCAATACTATCAAAATGTTAACATTGATATGGACTTAGAGGGCACTGTTAACATATTTCTCAATCTTCCTCCCAAGCATCATTACTATCAAAATGTTAACATTGATATGGATTAGAGGGCACTGTTAACATATTTCTCAATCTTCCTCCCAAGTGTCAGGAATCCAAAGAACAATAATTTTATATACCTGTATGTTTTCTATAAAGGTGCTTGGATCTTGGGTTTTGAACCTCAACAGGGTACATTTTTGTACCCTGTTGAGGTAACAAGGAACAAGTGGAAATAATACTTTTTAGTGGCAGATACAGGTAGTCTTAATAGAGGTTGCCCAGGATGGACTTTCACAAATGGAGGGTCTATACCATCTATCAGCCTCATTGTAGGTGGCACTCTCTAGAATTTGAATACAATTTTTCTTTTTAGTAAGAAAGTTTTCTATAAATTTTTTTTTTCTTTTATGATTTTGAAAAATGTATGGGAGGAGGCCCACAATGGCTGGGCACCCTCCTCCCCCACCCCCACTTGAATCTGCCACTGCTTTTGAGACTAAACCAAACCCCCTTCAAATGTGCCAAGTCAATTCAACCATTTTCAATTCTAATGTGGATTTTTTGACAAACTCTTTTTTGGGAACAGTACCACAAGCGACGACAGTTGAATGGCACCATATAAATAAACAATTGATTGATTGATTGATAATTGATCTTGTATTGTGATTGATTATATATTCACAATGCTGATTAATTATAGATTTGCAATGAAATTAATTATACTAGGTTTGCAGTGGTGATATTTAAAGTTGTCTTTGTCCCAATAAAGTATGTAGGCCTATCTGATATGGGATATCAATCCATAATCTGTACCCTGTTATTCATACTTTGTTTATGTTATCTTGTGCATCCAATTAAAAAAAAAACATTTTCAAAAACAAGAATTTTTATCATTCACTTGAATCATGAAATGTGCAGTTGTTTTAATTGTTTTTATAACTGGTACATTTATTTTATATCATAAATGTAGCCTATTTTATTTGCTTTGAACATTTATTACAAAAATTATAAAGGTTTTATGTCACTGTTTTAAAGTTGTATGAGTAGAGTACATAAACAAAAACCTCTATTAAGCAAACAATTTCACAATTTCATATGTCTCACATGAGTAACTTTGGTATGGAGATACACTTCTACAAGATTGTAATAAAAAAATTTTACACTTCTACTGGTGATAATTCAAGATTGTAATAAAAATTTTACACTTCTACTGGTGATAATTCAAGATTGTAATAAAAAATTTTACACTTCTACTGGTGATAATTCAAGATAGTAATAAAAATTTTTGTTTAGTGTCCCTAAATATTGGTACAGTACCATTATTTAGGGAATACCCTATTAAAGGGGTTGTCTCCAATAGGGATTGTAAATGAATTGCATTGGTACAGTATATCGTACTGTAGATTACTAATACCTGTTGATATTTACAGCATTAATACTGCATAATTACTTTATTAATTGTAGATTGAGGCAGTCAACATGGGACAGGCTACAGGAACTTAAAGATGGAGAACTAAGTCAGGTGATGGAAGCTGTATTATCACATGACCCAATTAGTCCTGTTTTAACGGATCTTCATCTTCAGGCTATGGACCGTAGACTGCAAAGCATTCTAGAAACAGTTGAAAATTGTTTCAAAAAAGAAAGCATAGAGAATGTTTTATATTGAAAAAAGCATTAAAAGAAAGTAAATGGAGATAAATAAGAGGTACAGTAGAGCTTCTCTTTGGAGGAGACACCATTTTTTTTTGCTGTAAACTGAGAGAAAACATCTTTTCACACTAAGCAAACCCCTGTTGAGGGGGTAAACTGTGATTAAATTGAGAATTATTTGAGAAAAAAAGTTGTGTATATAGAAGAATATAATTTTTGTGGAAAGTATGTGGAGAATCTGTTTGACTATAATTAAAGGTGGGAGCTAGATATACTGCCTGTCTTGAATTAGAAAAAAAATGAAATTCAGTATTTGAATTGCCTTGTGTAAGTGGCGTATCTATGGGTGGTTGGTGCACGTCCCCTTAAAAGAATGTTACGCCATACCTTTTCTCCACCTTCACCTAAATGAATTTCCCATAAAAAAATTTTTAAAAAATCGCCCTGTAAAAGAAAGTTACGCAATACCTTTCCCCACCTGTCACCTAAGTAAATTTGCTAAGCAAAAAATATGCGCCCTTAAAAGTATGTTACGCTATACCTTCCCCCACCTGTAACCTAAATAAATTTGCTAAGCAAAAAAAAAAAAAAATAGTAGTGAAGTAATGAAATTCTCCTTATATCACCTTATTTTGCCAGATATTGCCTCCTCACTTATAATCATCAAGCCACACCCCAACTTAAATTTCACACCCCATCAGCCCCACCCCTTCATGTCAACTGCTACTTGCCAAGGAAACCCCTTCATGTCAACTGCTACTTGCCAAGGAAAACATTTTCTTGTTAATTTTTTCAATTGAAAGCAAGTGACTTAAAAATTACCATATATTCTTGCATATTAGACAAGGCTTAAAATAGCAAATTACAATCGGAAAAACAGGGGGTCATCTTATATGCGCAATTTTAAATAAAGATTTTGAATGAACATAAAAGCCCATAAAATGGTATTATTTGGAAAATGAGCCATATATTTGGCTCCGATTTTAGCCAGCTAGATGCAGTAACAAGATCATAATGAGCAGTAAAAAGTAGGAATTACGACGGTGAAACTGGGATTGTCATATACGCCCGATATACAAAAATCGTCCAAAAATCTTCTCGAACTCAGGGTCATCCTATATCGCCTAATATGCAACAATATACGTTACAAATTCAAATATTAAATTCTATTTTTCAAATATTTTTGTCATCTAAAACACACACACAATATGTATTTATGTAATTTCATTTTTCATTCAATTTATTTATTCACCAAAGATAGAATACATAATAAAGTAACTATAATCAGGGGTACATTAGGTTAAGCAAAAATTCATTATAATTTTGAGGGGTCAGCTGCCCCTCGTTTGCATTAATAATGCGGTATAAATTAAATTTCTGCATAAAATTTTACCCCAATATTTATTATTGGAAGGAAATATAGTCAGTTTATTTTTCTAATATTTATAGTTATATTTTTCTGATTGTATACTTATATTTATATAATTAATGTCAATCATTTTCCTCATTTATTTAGAAAGCATGGTTTAACATGGTTAAGGGCTTAGGCTTTGGAGTAAATTATTTCCTTGGTTTGAAATCTAAAAATGACATGATCTTCAGTTGAGTCCTTTACTCTAGTTCCACACCCTTCAGATGGAATGTTAAGCCATTGCTCAAATAGAATTTTTACAACTTTTAAGGCATCCTTTTATTGACATGTGGTTGCTGTTTGATGTGGTGTTTGAAATTAAGAAAATAGATTAAAAAATGGTCCAATATTTATAATTGCTCTGTGCATGAATACTGTTGTATACACAGAATAGAGTAAAGAATTGTATCCCAGCATTGTGACCAAATACATGGCAATACAATCATGTTTGTATATGTGTAGATGTTTGTAATACACTTTCTTTTTATAAGAATACATTAACACTGAGGCTAAAATAGCATAAGAACAAGTTGAGGCTGAGGTACAGTAAAATGTCAAATTGTGTTTTTATTTATTTATTTTTTAATAGAAAAACCAACAAATCTTATCCGTACCCTATATGCAGTAGACTTAAATACCCTCTATATACAGTACAGTAATATACAACTGTATAATAATGATTTTGTATGTTTGAAACATAATAAATAAGACCAAAATAACAATATTTTGAGCCTGAAATTGGCAAAAAAAAATAAGAAAACTGAGCCTGGACACTACATAATTTTACTGGTTCTTATAAAAAAAAGTGTATGTTTGGATTGCCACTGACATGCAATGCTTGGTAACCCTTGAAAAATACATTGACAAATACATTGACAATTAAATAGAAATAAGAATGTAGTTTTGTGATTAGAAAAACAAATTTTATGTAAGAATTTTACTGCATCAAATCCCATTTTTATTTATATTTTATTTTATCAGTTTAGGTACACGAGCCATGAACGACAATAGTGAAATCAGTGGCAATCTCTTTCATTAGACAACATAATATGATGCTCTCATCATAAACTCATTATGAGGCTTAAAAAAGAGGAGTTTGTTGGTCATGAGAAAAAAATCCAAATTATAGGTTTTATCTACATTCCATTTGGACAAAGGATGTAGAACAGCCTTTCAATAAACAGAGTAGTGTCCACACAGCTTTCAACTTAAAATGTGGAAATGCATACTATGTTCAAAGACAAAAATCATAAATGTATTATATATAAAATTATTGCTCCCTCATAAAACACTGATGTAAATAATTGCTTTAATGAGAAACTTTAAAACCTGATGTCATTATTCAGCTCTTATCACAGAGACTGGCTGTATATTTTGAATTTAGAAGGTTTGAGTTTTAATTCAAGCACTCACTACGTGATACGACCGTCCTACGACGAATCCAACTCCGCTCCCTGTGAGCGGTACCGTAGACTAAACTTTGTCTTAATCAGTGAAAATGCTGAAGAATAATTTGATTTTGGCACCATTGGCGTTCCATATTAATTATTTGCATGGCGTTCCATAGTATACTTTTTCTGGGATCTCTAATTCGTATCAAAAAGTTGGTGGCACTTTCCGAAGTGTGCTAATATTACGAAAAATCAATAATTTATAGACTTTTGGCAAGTCTAGCGGTACCGGTACGCGTGACTGCTGATTGTTGGTGGCAGTGTGTAAACGATTGTGACAGAGCCGTAGATAGAGTGGCCAACTCGGTTTCACGGGATTCTGCTATATACGCACGTGTGATTGCGTGGATCGCAATCACATGACTTACACCGGCTATGTTGTCACCAAAACAAAACATTGGCGAGCCACAAACAAACGCGATAGGATATATTAAAATCCCATAATTGAATTGTCCTCATGAACAGAATAATAAAAGAAAGTTTATGCAACATCAGTGTTATAAAGCTAATACGCGCGCACGCTGTTTGGTAACAACATGGCACCATGCGCCAAGTTGGCCAGACTCTCTATCTACGGCCGGCTCTGGATTGTGAGTAAAAACGATCGGTTGCGCACGTGTCGTGGTGCTGCGTTCTACATAGAATCGCTCAGGTCTTTTCGTATAGTCGTTCTTTTTTGCCATTAATTATTATCATGCTTTATTTCTCATGTTTTTTATAGTTCTTTTTACGACTGATAATAGAATTGTTTACACAAATTTTAACTTATTTTGGAGACGGTTTTTACTTTATTATAATAGGTCTAATTAAGGAAGTTTCGCAAGCTAACGATAACGAATACGGTTACGTCATATTTTGTTTTATCCTATCTATCCCATAGAGTAGCATATCTGTCACAACGTACGCTATTCATGACTTTTAAATGAATCAACGATTATTGTAAAGAATGTTTTAGGCACAATGGAGATAACGTGTTCGTTATCGTTTTCGTAAATTGGAAAATCTCCCTATTAAATGTCTTGCTTTTTGTAACTCAACCTTTATCTCACCTACAAGTTTTAGTCTATTGCAGGACTTTGTATAGGCCTATAAAGCTTTTATTCTGGTGCTAATTTAATACCCTAATAATGGGAATAGAAGAATAAATTAACAACTTCTAATATAAAAAATATGGCATAGAAAACGCCTTAAAATTAATTAAAGCATTGATAATTACTTCTTTAAGAGGATTACATAAGTTACATACTTGCAATGAGCAAGTAGAGGTCAAAGGAATTCATTTTTATCACCATCTGACTTAAGGGTGTTTGCAGAATACAGAAATGAGTATTGATTAATTATGCCACAGACCCTATATGGGGTCTGTGCTTCATAGCAATCCTAAATCTAATCGACAGGTCTGGCCTTGAACTATTCTTATGTATTTCTTTCTGTTCGTGTGTGTGTGTGTGTGTGTGTGTGTGTGTGTGTGTGTGTGTGTGTGTGTGTGTGTGCGTACGTACCTGTGTGTAGAACAGGTTTGTAAACACAAAAACTTCAGAACTGTGACATGTTGGTACCAAATTGATTATTCTCTCATTTTGTCTTGTGTGAATATTTAACTCGTACGAGATAAAAACAATACCCTACCCCCACCAAATGTTGTAAGATATGGTTTCGTTTTTGTCAGAGCCTTAGGATGCAGTAGCTGCGCCAGGATTTTCTCCGAGGGTTAAGGGATGTCTCCCACGGGCTGATGGATGTTCCCGACGGGAAGGCCGATTTCCTCGGACGACTGCATAAGTAGGCAAACATATGTAATCACGGTCTTCGAAGAAGTCTGGTTTTGTTTTTTGAAGTATTTTTGAAGCTTGTTTCTTTAACCCATCGTAGATAGTACCGTACCGTACTTTTAAACAAAGTTATAATTATAATTTTACGGGGTTAATCGAAGAGAAAGCCTTTTAGTGTTTTACTGTTGTATGCTTAGATTGTATGCAATTAACATAAAAACATCAATAAACATTAAACGTAGACGATTTCATTTCTTAAGTAGCGTTCTAATGCTGCCTGAGTTGTTTCATTTTACAAGCCATTTTATTACCAAGAGTAATTTGATGAATTCTGTTCAGGAATAATTGTATATTGTCAGATCATGTGAATATTATGTTGTAAATGTCCATTATGGTTTAAGTTTCACATCTGTAGTTGTAGATGCTGTGTAAACATGAGCTATGTTTTATGTCTAATGATGGTGCTATAATTGATGTAATATGATGATTATGAGTTTAATCAATGCATCATAATGGTCTATTTTGTTTGAATATGAAAAGTGTTAATATTATCTGTTGCAATAAAACAAATTACTTATGAGGTATCAGATGTCAAAACAATGTCTCAACATTGTGAATTGTATAATGCTAAGGGTGAAGTAAGATAAGTTACTTGAAACTTTGGTCTCAATCAGAAGGATGATATGCAAAAATGTTGGTAATTTAAGTGATTATTATTATTACTATTACTTATTATTATTTGCTTTTCCATCGTTAGCAGAAAATGCCATTATTTTGTTCTATGAGAATGCCATTTCTATGTATTCAGAGATGGCATATTCTTAAAATGTCCACTTGAAGTCAAAGTTTCCTAATGCTATTTTTTAAAATGTCAAGATTATTCTAAAATAAACATTTGCTTTTCCATTGTTAGATAATTTGCATGTGGATGGTGGGTTCGAGAGTTTCGGGATCTGGATCAATTATCATCAACGCCCCTAAAAGGAGCACAATTTCATGCAAACCTATTTGAAGTCAAATTTCGTTCATTGCATAAATTTGACGACCGTGATTACTTCAATTTCAGCATACATTTGAAATAAATACTTCCTTCCCAATTATTTGCTCATACATTCCTTTAGATCCGGTAACGCGGATGAATATTGAGCTGCCGTCTGTCGTTCAAAAACATATTTCTTCACAATTCATAATAGATCATCATTCGTTTAATTAATTTTCTATAATAATAACTATAATAATGGTTAACATATACCGTAACGATAGAGAAATTAAACAGTCTCTGAAAATCCGCCTTCTTTGGAGAACTGTTATAGTTGAGCCCGAGCGAGGGCGGCGCCATCTTTGTTGTTGTTATAGAAAAGCTATGTGATTGCAACGTAAGGGGATTTCGTGCAAATCAGGAATTATCACATGTGCATAGCAAAAGAGGTTAATTTCACGTTTTGAAAGCTAAACTTAATATCGTTTTTCTTGAATACACCGAAGGTACCTCAGACATCCTTATACAATCGTTTTTATTCTTGTCAGTCTATCGTGAGTTACAAAAAACACGTTTTTAGGGGGTGGTGGGGGGGGGAAGGTAAATATTTCAAGTCGGCGATTTAGCCTGACACAAGGCTGACTAAAAAAATCGGCCTGTGGAGGTATCATTTTAGTTGAGGTTCGCGTAATTTAGTCGTAGTTCCAATCGAAGTTCGTTTTAAGAATACGAAATGACGTAATTTTTTAGTTTTAGCTCGAACTACGACTAAAGTTCGTTTTAAGAATACCGGGGTAAGTCGTAGTGCTAGTCAAAGTTCGTTTAAGAACACGAAATGACGTAATATTCAAGTTTTAGCTCGAACTACGACTGAAGTTCGTTATAAGAATACCGGGGTATAGCCCGCGATTGGTCTTCCAAAGTTCTGTAGGAACACCTCGCGTTTCAGTTCAGTGTCAAATTAGGACAAATCAACTTCATTTATTAACCAGAATTCCAGGTTTTCCCCGACGAAGAAAGTGGGCGTGGTCGGCCGTTGCTCAAAATCTCTCGAAAGAAATTCATGGGGGAGAAGTCCCCGAAAATATGACAATTTATGAGTTTAAAGGCTTATTTAATCGTTTTTTAGTCTACTAATACGTAGAATATACATATACATTTTTTTCTCCCCGACGTACCGTATACATTATGGAGAGAGACCTCTCTCTTAACAACGAAACTACTCAACATCTAAAATTGTTACTCAGGAGTCTTTGAATGAGAGGTGATATTTTTTCCTGTTTTCGTCATTTCTTCTTTTGCTGTTCTGCGCTTTCTTTGTATGCTTTGTTATATTTTATTCTGTTGTGCTCTCATTTTTGGAGGTTTTGGAATAAAGTGGAATTTGAATTATTGTCTTGTTTGTTTGTTGTTTTTTTTTTTTTTTTTTTTTTATGTTGTTATTTCACAATGTTAATTTCATCAAGTATGTTTTTGACCAAGTAATACATTTAATTGAATATTATACTATACAATACAGTACTCTCTTTATTATCCAAAACAAAATATTTTTTACAATGAAAACGAATAAATTATTGTTAGATAAAAAGAGGTTGAAAGGAGGCAACTACATGCCTATTTGGTTCAATATCCTATAAAAACAAATTAATATATAATTTACGGTTCATTAATAGTAAAATAGAAATTATAATAATTAAGTTACAACCTTTTATTGTAATAAAAATTCTTGAATTTGGTTTTGAAAGAGTTTCTATTTTTTATTTTGCCGAATGTGCATTGGTATTTCATTCCATATGTTGGATTTTCCGGATGTAGTAGCTGCCTTCGGCCAATATATTGTAGATTTCCCTTTGTATTTTGCCTAGTTTCATGTGGATGTATGGTTGTGATAAGTGTAAGATATTCATTTAAATCTTGAGGCTTTTTTTTAATGAATCAAACAAAATAAACGGATACATAATTTGTGTAACTTAACAACATTTAACAAATTCAATTTCTTAAACGAAGGTAGAGAATGAGTCAAATCACTAAATGTTGTTGCTCTTGCTGCCATTTTTGGAGTACAGTAGGATAGAATGTGAAAATGGACAAGTGCGACCCCTGACCCCTAACTCATACGTGATATGTGGTTGTATAAATGATTGGTATATTAATATAAGAATATTTTGTGGGAATATATGCCTTACCTTGAATATAATTCCAGCTTTCTGTTTAACTATGGACTTACTTTCTCAATAATGACTTCCGAAGTTAAGTGTTTTTGTCCATGGTTAGTCCAATAAAAACAGCTTCTGATACATCCTCGATGTGTTCATTATTGAGGACAATATCCCCATCTGCAGTAATTGGTTTTTTTAAAAATATATAATGAAATTAATTGTGTTTGTCGAATTAATAGTTATCTTGTTTTGCACCAATATAAAACTTCATTTAACTGAAAAGATACTTCGTCAAAGTTGATTTATTAATTATGTGTGAAAAAGATTTGCATTGTCTGCAAATAATCTGAAATTTAAAAAGATGGAAGAATTCGGAATATCATAAATAAAAAAAAGGACTGGGGCCTATCACAAAACACTAAGGTACACCGTGTGTTGTGCTTCTTTCAGGTTGTATTTGTCAGATAACTTTTAATCCAGTTCGAACAAATTCTTCTCACTCAATAGTGTTGCAGTTTTTCAATTAAAATAATGCGGTCGATTCTGTCGAAGGCTTTTGCCATATCATAAAAATGCAAATAGGGATTTGTTTTGCCGTCATCAATGTTCTTAACGATTGAATTTAGTAGATTTACAAGTGATAATTTTGTGCTAAAATTTAGACCCCTATTGGTGATTATACAGAATTATTATTATTGATTATGTACCCTATCAACCGATTGCCTTTCCTTATGACTTATAGAATAAATTCGTGGCCAAAGAGGATCCTTTACGGATTAGAATTCATAACAAACCGTCAATGGCTTAGTGGGTTAAGGCCTCTGCATAGACAACAGAAGGTCCCGCGTTCGAATCCCGGTGGGCACCTATTTTTTCACGCTCGCAGATTTCTTTTTATCATTCAAAAAATTTACTTAACTTTCGATTATTGCAGCAGCCTATATATATATATATATATATATATATATATATATATAAAACATGAAGAGGAGTCCACGTGTGTTCATATGGATAATAAAGAAGAAAGAAAAACAGGAAACGGAGTAGACTTTAGAACACTATTTTATTACAACATGAATATTTCGACCTGACCTCAGGTCCTCTTCAGCATGACATATATATATATATATATATATATATATACTGTATATTGTATGAATCAAATATATAGTAGTAGAGTGAATGTAGCTTTTAAAAAATAAAGTTCGCTCTGCTATGTGATAATAATATCGTACGGGCCCCTGTGATATAAGCGGTATGACGCTCACCGAAATAGCGAGAAATTGCGGGTTCAATTTCCACCAGAGGCCTCTTTTTCCACACAACTAAAAAGGAGAAACTTTTGTTGTTGATCTGTTTGATATGATTTATACATCATGTTCCTATATATTTAAACACTGTATTATCTGTTTGATTTATACATTATCTTTGTTT